TCAATTTAAAATTTTTCTCCCATAAATTTTTCAGAAAATTTTGGTGGTTTCTGCTGCTTGTCTGTGAGGCAGACAACAAAACAAATGAACAAGCAGCAAATGAATATTAATGGCAAAGCTTAGAAACAACAGATCGTGCTTCCCTTCAGAGCTTGTTCTGCAGGCCCATGTGTTGTGATTTTCATGTTGCATACCTGTAATATAGTCATTTTCTGCTAGTAAAACTGTTCCTGGTTCAAATGCTAGAATTAAATACATCCATATTTCATGGTGTTATGCAAAGAGCACTATGATTTTCAAGCTGTCTGCCTCCTCACAAAGTTTAAGAAAAAAACGCCCAAGGAAGCTTGAGACAAAGGCAGCTAAACGTTTAGGGCTGTATCGCTTCCTCTACCATTGGAGAGCTCAGTCCTTTGTGGGAGTCTGAAGCCATCAGACTTTGAGGTTAAGGACCTCGGCACTTGCCAGATTCTACAAGAATAATGTCATTTGTCAGCCTAACTGCAAGACCCAGAATCAGTTTAAGGGCCTGAAATCTCATTTTAATTCTGGCCTGGACTCCAAGTAAAGTGCCGTGGGCCTCAAGAAAGACCAGAGTATGGTGTATTTATTGGCTGTGACTGCTAATCTGGTTAACTTGATGGAAATTTATAGAAAAGAGATAAAGCAATGGCAGATTTTGCTTTTGGCCATAGATGTATCAGGTTAATAAGACACAAGAAAGTAGTGAGGTCTTAAGTTGGAATAGTGAGCCGGGAAGATTGTCCAGAAGTTGACAATTAATATAATAGAATAGGAATTGGACCATGCGCATCCTTTCCAGCTTCCTCTACAGAAAGATCGGCAACCACCTCCCACACACCATTTTCCCCCTACAATTGCCTCTCATCCTAAATCTATATTGCTTCTGAAAAGTCCCATTCTCTAAGAAGAATATGTATATATTTCCTCTCAGGCAGGTGGTAGAAGGGATAAAGTACATACTTGTAACGCTGTATGTGAAGAGCTTATTGTTTAGCAAAAAAATTGACTGATTTGCTAGATTAACTGTCTTCTGCCCTCCTACACTCAATGTAAAATTTCCCTGTGCTCAGTTGCGCTCACCTGCTTTCTTAGCCTACCGGATTTAGCACTGGAAATACTGCATTCGTCCTCCGCCGCTCTGTGCTAATTAGTGACCACTCTGCCATCAGCACAACCTTTCCAGCGTCCTTGCAGGCTGTCTCCGACAGAAACCTAAGTTGTAGCTGAGCGGGTCTTATCAGGTTCGTGAGAAGAGTGTTCCAACACGTGCAGAGGTGGCAAGGCTCAGGGAGGGGCCGGGCATCATGCTCCCCCCGAGCCGAGCCATTCCTTTGAAAGAGGAGAACACGTTCTCCTCTTCCCTTTCTTGAAGCTGTACTGATCTCCATATGGTCTAAATGCTTCTCTGTTCTCCAGGCTCGTGCCACCCCGAGTTTACTTCTAGTTCTCTGACACATGGAGATGGTGGGGGAGCCCACCCCGCCCTCAGGCTGATCTTCTCTACCTCGCCTCACCAGCCAGCGCACTGGGCCTGTTTGGTTCACTTCCATCAGCCATTTACACTGAGAGCAATCCGGGACCCCAAGTGAGCGATTCACACCCGACATTGCATTGACACATTCCATGGGATGTAAAAATCTCTGTTCTGGTGATTTCAGCCCCATCAGCATAATTTTCTTCCACGTGGTACAGGTAAATCATGGTTAAATATTGAATCATTTATCAACTAGTGCTTTCTAAGCCAGATCTCATAAAATCTCAGGAATAGATTGTGCTAACAAAGCAGCTAGCAACCAACTATGACTATCAAATTTTTCCCTCTGCAATCTGTTCCTCATTTAGAGAGAAAATGCTAAGGAAATTAAAAATCAGTTAGCTTTACCCTTTTATTGGAAACCACACAAAATTATTATAATGTTCTTCAGAATAAAAATCTTATTTGGAGATTTCACAATAAAGGCATATTTTGGTATTTCTGGCTCTTCTCAAGGATGGATTGTAGCCCTCTCTGACAGCAAATATTCCAAAAAGTATACGCCCGTGTTGATTTCCAAATGCTTGAGCTTCAATCCACAGGGGAAACATATTGAGTGCAAAACCTTTATGATTAGATGAAGGGGCTCAGTAACAACCAGGAAAGTCAAACTTTCAACATTCTAGTATAGAAAACCGTGCTCGAGTAAAGATGATCTGAAGACAAATCTCTTTGCAATCAAACCTCATTTACTCCTAAAATGGGATCACCAAATGCTTTGCCGGGAAATGAGATGAAATCAAGCAAATGTTTCCCAAAGGCCTTCAATTTGACTTGTTCTTTGCTTGGTTCTGAGCATTCACCAACAGGGGCTTGTGTGGGGAGCAGTTCAAGAACAAAGTAAATAATGGTTTCCTACCACCAGGCTCCTCTGTCCACCTTGGAAGGTCACACCGTCTGATTATGGTAAAGAAGACCAGAAACCAAATCTACCAAGGGTGTAGAAGGCTGAGAAGAGATGACCTCCAGTGGAAATTGAAAAGGACCTGGGTGAGTTTGATTTCAAAAGATGAGATTAAAAAACTTTAATTCCTTTCACTCTGAACATTCTTCTTCTTTTAGAAATAATGATTTAAATCCTCTCCCTCTCAGAAAGCACTGATTCTTTCTCTTTCAATACAGTGAGGTCATTGTTATTTCAATGAATGATGACTCAAAAAATAAGAATAAATAAAGAACTTTCTTTTCTTTTCAGTATGCAGAATGCTGAACCTGCAACTCCTTGACTTTGGAGATTGTTTTATGGGGAAAATGCCTATCCATACAAAGCTAAAGTAATTGTTTAATCTTAGATTGCCAAGAGCAGGAAAGCAAACCTGAAGCTCTGTCCAAAATCAGAAAAGGCTCCAGGAAAAAAATTGAGAAGCAGCGTTAGTTGGTCCTGACAGGAACTTGACTCTGGGCTCTATAGGCTGACAGAAGTTTCCTGGGAACCGAGGAGGTCAAGGTTAGGAGGAGGGTCAGGTAAGGGAGCACAGATATCAATCTTTCAACTTGGATGGAGACAAGTTGGACAGAGATGAGTCTAGAAATTAGGTTCCTCAAAACTACGAAATCTCTACTACAGTGGAGTAAGGGGTATGCAGAAAGGCAAGTTCTGGGAGACCAGGCTCCCAGGTGCCTTGGTACGGAGCATGAGCCCACTTTACTGAGGAAAGGAGAGCCACACAACAGGGTCCTTGGTGCAGCAGAAGCCATCTCAGGCCAAGCTCATGGGCAACTTCAGGACAGAGCCTCATGCCCCTTACCTGATGCCAGAATGCAGGCCAGATTTTGAACTCTAGTCTGCCAATAGAATACTCCCTTATTTGCCCAAATAAGGGACAAGACAAACACCTGGGAAAAGGCCCTGGTACTAGAACAATAAGGCTGAGTGAGAATGCCAGCCCTGCCCTGGCTGTCTGAGCTCAGAGACAGGGAGCTTGTCCATGGAAGCCTATCTCTGTTGCACTGTGTAAATGTCTTAATCTTTCTTCACTCGGTTTCCTCATCTATAGACAGTGACTACAGTACTTTTCTCTTTTTAATTTTTTTGTACTGGGGATCAAACTCAGGACTTTGCGCTTGCGAGGCAGGGGGCAGCACCACTTAGCCAAATCCCTGACCCAATACTTTTCTCAAAAGCTGTGGAAAGAGTAAGTTATTTCACAGATGTAAACATGAGGACCTATGTCGGAACGAACTATGTATACAATGGACACTAACCATTCTTTTTATGAGACATAAAAGTACTTTGTATCTTTGAATTTCTCTTTTCTCATCTGAAAAGGGACATAAGAGCATCCTTCTTGTAACATTGTTGCATTCAAATGAGGTAAAATATAGAGCAAGTATACAATATCTGGCACAGAAATAAGTGTGTTAAGTAACAGAAAACCTTATTATTGACTTAAACAGATGTCGGGTTTGTTTTTGTCACAAAGCGAGCAGTCAGAAGCTTGGCTATTTCTCACTTTCTCAGAGCCCTCATAGTGTCAGAGCTCTCCGTTGGCACCTCTCAGATTGCAGTTATTCCCCAGCATCCGGAGAGGATGGGGTCCAGAACCCCTGGGGAAATCAGAATCCATGGACACTTAAATCTCCTACAGAAAATGGCATAGTGTGTGCATGGCCTCCCATGTACTTTAAAAGCATCTCTAGGTTGCTTAAAATAGCTGCTTCAGTGTAACTTCTTGGTACAGAGTTGTTATACTCTGTTCACTAGGGAATAATAACAAGGAAAAATTTGTACATGTTAAGAATAGGCACAAATTATTTCAACCATTTTCAGTCTCTGATGAGTTGAATCCGAGGATGTGGACCTCACCAGTATGGAGAGCCATTTCCTGACTTTGAGTGGGGAAGAAAAGGGAGAGGCTCCTGAGAGCTGGTTGCAAAGCAAACGTATGAGATGGCCAGGCCTGTCTGGTACAGTACAGGATGTGCCATTAGATCTGACTGTCAGACAAACAACACACAAGTTCTTTAAGGTATTTCCAGGGCAGGGCTTAAGACATATTTATATTAAAATATTCATGGTGTGTCTAAAATTCAAGTTTAACCAAATGCCCTGTGTTTTTTTCTACTAAATTTCGCAGCCTTATGCTAAGAGCTCTTATCAAATTGCTGCTTAAATCTCATTGGTCTACTCTTTGCTGTAAAGGGCTCTGGGAAAATGTTTGACCCTATGAGACTTCATAGCTGTCAAAAGGCAAAGGAACAAGGTAATAAGAATAGCTAGGTCAGTCAGCTAATGACGCCTAACCCAGTAGAAGATCAGTGAATATTTATCTCTAACACTGTCCTGCCCCAGGATGTGATTGGCCTCTAACACAGCACAAAGTGTTTATATGCCTGGCCACTTAAAAATACTACACAGTCGATGTCAACATATGAAATGAGCAATTTTTGTATTTTAGTAAAAGGAGCTGAAGCTTGATTGGCAAACCCGGGGGCTGACTACCTTAGACATCTGAGTCTTCGTGTTTGATTAGTCCTGTGCTCACAGGCCGCCACGGCTCCGGAAGGGTCTCTTTGTTGAGTCCAGTGGCCCAGTGGAGACTAAGATGAAGCTGTTGGGTGAAGTGGAGCAGCGCAATGCTGCCCCCAAGTACTGCCGCTCAGGTGCCACAGCTGCAGCGATGTGAAGACAGGGAATCCCAGGTACTGGAAGAGATGGAGAAAGCCTTCATTAACCGGCTGGCTCCGAAGAGTTCTCAGTTTATCCCCTCTGACTTCTGAGCCCCAAGCGGCAGTGGAATCAGCTTTTATAGAGTCCTAGGGTTGGGGGACGGGCCCTGTGCCCCGCGAGCACGCTCAGGGAAGGAGAGGGAGGAGCTGACAGAACATTCCTGAAACATCTGGTAGGAACTTCCGGCAGCACAAACGGCTACGTTTCCCGAATGGAATATCTTATGAAAAGACAGGGGCACGGGCAGAGGCCTCCCCAGTGCGCCCGCCACTCCACCAAGGCCAGTGAGGCACCTGCTGTACAGCAGCAGGCAAGGGCCCCTTGTTCTCCCCGCGCTCCTGCATCCTCCCTCGTGTCAGGTGCCCCGGCACCTTCCTTGGTTTTCCCCAGTCAGTGGCCTTCATGGGAACTGGATGAAGACAAGAACAGACCCCTGCAGTACGTTAGATCCTGGCTACCAGTGTGGCCACAGAGTGGGGTGAGAGGCAGGGATTGGATGAGTCAGTTTGTCTAACTTGGCTTGGTGAAGCCAAGAGAACTGCTGCATACCCCAGATCTCTTCTATTTCCAGGGCACAGAAAAGTACACGGCTTTAATTCCTCCAAACGTAATTCTGTCATACTATATCACGATCTGTCAAAACACACAACCTGCTTCAACGTGCCTTCCGCACAAACACCCTCTTGTTTTCTACCAGACGGTACAAGGCTCAAGGTTCTGATGTAACTGCACTCAATTTTCCTTATGGGAGCACTGCAAAGTGATCATTTCTATTCTTTTGATCTACATTATACTTCTTTTTGCCAACCCCACTTCCTTCTTTTACAGTATTACCAAAAAAGAGGTGGCCAGACTAACTCCTGCTGCCCCTATCTAACTCAAGGCAGAATTTGGAGGTCAGAGAAGAGTTTGGGGTGCACAAGCAATCAAGGATGCCTCAGGGCGATGTCTTCGTAGCTGGGAGAGATTCCACAGAGAACAGCAGTTAGTCTGAGCAAAGTGGGGGTATGAATTTAAAAAGGACAAAACTATGTCAAAGGAATGTACACATCTTTTCTTAGACTAGATTGTGTGTGCTTAGAAGAAATGTTAGAAGAAAATATCTTAGTGATGAAAATGTATTTATTGTTTTCAGCTTTAATTGAGTTTATTGGTACATTTTAGGGATACAGTAGAGTTACATTCATTGTTGTGATCTTGTACCTCTCTCTACATGACAAGTCTTTGTTCTCATTTTTTCCCCTTGTCCCTGACCTCCCTTCACCCCCTCCTCCCCTCCCCATCTACAACTACTTTATTTCCATCTTTTAATTATCTCACATTTTTTTCTTTTCCCATTTTACCCTTCCCCTACCCGTCCCATCTTCCCTACACCTTTAGCTCCTTTCTTCCCATTTCTCAATGTCAGTAATCTTATTGGGATCTTCTGTATTATTGCAGATTATTCACACCAGAGAAACTATTCAGTATTTACACATGTGTGCCTTATGTATTTCACTTAGGAGTAGATCTTCAATATGTATCCATTTTCCTATGAATGAATCTATTTTCTCATTCCTTATGGCTGAGTAAAATTCCATTTTATAGAAAAACCACATCTTCTTTAGAAAATGTCTTTAAACTATTGTGGATATAGAAATTTTATGCAGGAAAAACAAACTTAGGTCAAAACAAACACTCCTCACTTCACATGCCCCATCAGGAGAGAGCCCGTTCACTTCTTTGGGTATGAAGAAGAGCCTGGGAAGAAAACTAACCACTCCCTCCATGAACATCATGGTAAAGACTTTAGCCTTTGAATTAGAAAAGGTTTCCCCAAGGTTTTACCAGAAAAGGCAGTTGGAATCAGGAGAAATGGACAGTTAGAGAAGAAAGACTTGTAAAACTGTGTCACCTCCCAAAAGCCTGATGGAAGAGGTCTTATTTCCTCCTGTGGCACAAAGGAACTGATTAGTTGACAACTCTCTGACTTAACCTCCTCAAGAACTCACTTGAGCCTTTCATGCACAAGTCAGCTTAGAATCCTCCAGAATTTGGGTTTTGCATGATATGGAAGGTGATGTTCAAACAAAGTGGGTTCTACCTCTGGGTCATCATGCCCTGCCTTCTGAAGCAATGACTTCCCATATGATAAGCTGTGCAATGGTTCTTCTGTCCCTTCACCCCACTTTATATATTTCCTAAAGAAGAAAGAAGGCCATTTGTGGTGGGGAGCAGACTGGCTGCATGCATTTTTCTCTGAATGAGACATGGAGGAAGGAGACAGAAATTGAGTGGTAGGGAAATAGGAAAAATCCCCTGAAGATCCTCAGATTCAAGACAGAGAGCACTGCCTAACAGCAATGTAAGGTCAACTTTGATTAAGAGTCAGAAAAGCAAAAGTGAGAAAAGGCAAAGCAAACTTTGCTATGTGAGATCAAATGTTTTGCCTTCCCTCTTTCAACATCTTCTGTTTCTGTCTCCTCAGCAAATAAGCTAATGTGGGGAGGAGAAATAGATTTATAAACAATCCATTTTTCTATTTGGATATATGGTCACACAAAGGAACGGTTCTCTTCTTCCACAAAAAAATAAAAACCTGCACACAAAATGCATACAAATGATTGCAGCTGTCACTTTCACAACTTAGAGAAAATGCAGATGGTATAAAATAATATTCACAAATGGCTAATAGAATTTTAATAGCTACAAGAAAGAAGAGAAAATGAAGGCACTGAATCTACTTGGGATGTGCAGAGAATGAGATGGTCCCCAACTCTAAAGGCAGAGGAATCCTTGATTTGCTTCATGCTTAGAAGTATACTCCCTGGTGCATTGATTTATGTGAGGATTAGGCAGCAATCACAGTCTCTAGACCATCCTGCAAGGCATGAGCATAAAGTATGATATTTGCAATATGCAAATGTCACGTGTGATGAATGAAATGCTCAGTATGTCTCGAGGACACCCAGCTGCTAACCAGCCGCGACTTCCATGCTACAAATGGAAAAGGAACTGGGAGCAAAGATTTTTTTATTGCTAATTGATTTTTTGATAACATGGTTTTCAAGTCTAAATACCAGTCACAAAAACACAAGTCATTCTATCCAAGTTAGTTTTATGCAACTCTGGATACTTCTTAATAATAACTGTCAGAACCAGGGTGAGCAATGGAAATCCGGGCCTCACCACGTTCATGCAGCACATGTACGGCTACGCTCAAGGGCACATGAAGGTGGGCAAACAGAGGAAGGACAGATCACGCGGCCTCAGCCAGAGTTCACAATTGAGCGCCATACTCAGGATGGTTCGTACGGAGACTCACGGATGGCCCATAAAGAAGATCAGCATCCAGGTGGCCTGGTAGTGAGTTTTGAAGGAAGACAAATTCAAGTGCAATAATCTGTTCTCTGGGCATACATTAAGTCTCTGGAGAAGGAGGATGGAAGTTTTTCACTGCTGACCTGGGAGCTCAGCACTGTTGACCAGAAGCAACACCAGCCCATAGCTAAACTGGGGCAGGATGTAGATCTAGCAATCTTTTCTTTTTCTCTGCCACAAGGGATCCTAGAGACTTTAGCATCTAAGAACAGGGGGTTGACTATCCAAACTAAAGAGACCAACAGGATGCAGCAGATCCTCCAGTAGCCCCTGTGTCCAACACCTTACAGAATGGTTTGTGAGCCGCACGCCAGCACACCAGCTCCTGTGCGTGTCTCTCCTTCTGGCAGTCCCTGATTTGTCTTCTTGGTCTCTTCTTCATTGGACCTATGTTTCCATCTAGACTCCTGAAACCAAATGTAGGGGCCTCAGAGAGCTCAGACCTTTCTGAAGCTTAAAGGGGGCTTTCCACAGTGCAATGAGGAATCCAAAGCTGATCAGAGACAGGGAGAGTCAGCAGTGAGGGCTCTAGAGCTGCCCCAGCTCACTACCGACATGTGGCAACCATGCCCCTGCAGTGTGACCTCGCCAAGAGGAGCTGAGGTGTAAGTGCAGATACACGCAGGTTTCAGAGACCTAGTACTGAGAAAGAAAATATAAAATATCTTATTAATGACTTTCATATTGATTTCATATTGACACAGTAGTATTTGGGACCTATTGAGTTAAATGAAATATAACAGTCAATTTAACACCACCTGTTTCTCTTTATTGTTATTAATACAGCTACCAGAAAATTTAGACCTATGTATGTGTCTTACATTCCATTTATTTTGAACACTGCTGCTTTATGGAGCTTGGTGATCCACCCTGGTTCTTATTTGAGTGTGGTCGATAAATTGACATCAGTCCACACGCCACGGGTACTCAAGAGAGGTAAAGAAATCGAGAGTAAAGATCTAGAAACTCTTACATCAGTTTGACACTGCCATGACATCCAAGTGTGTGATGTTTCATTTTCCATAAGTACCACATTATGACAAATTGGGAGAGAAAATGTTCTTTCTCCATCATGGACAGTTTGAGGAACATGGTGTATTCATCACAAGATCGGGCTTTGGTATTCAGAGGAAGCTGTCAATGCTTTGGAAATTTAGGAGCTTGGATGGAGCTGTCATAGCTTGCTAAGCCCTCCACAGAGATGAGGGAACGGTTTTCTGTCACTTCCAAACTCCCTGTTGTGAGTCTCTGTACGGAGCGCTATGATCATGCTGGGTAAGTGGGGAAAGGTGAAGTTGGCAGCTTCAACCTAGGAACACAGGATCCAGATGCCTCTGAACAAGTGAATATCTGCCTTCTAAAGCGTAGGTCTCCTTCGCAGACCTGGGGCAGATGTACTGATGCATGCATTCACTGGTTTGATAAACAGTTGTTGAAAAGTGATGGTATCCAAGGATTCAGCTGGGGGTGGAGCTACCACAGTGGATGAGATGGCTCAGCTGCCTGCAAAGGGTCCACAATGTGGGGGGCAGAGAAGCACACCCTGGTGACAACAGGTGATTTACAGGCGTGACGGGACAGTGAGCAGGATGTGGTTACCATTAGCCAGGGAACT